CTTTTAACTTGGTATGGATGTATTAACATTGATATTTAAACTTTTATTTTTCTTTCAGTTTCTGATTTGCAGTAGCAAAACTACCTCCTAAAATATAAAATGACAGATAGGATGTCTAACTGTATAGGCAAAAAAAAAAAATTTTAAGCAGTTATAACTTTAGTATTTTAAAGTGTTTTTTTCAAACTTACCCAATTTCTCATTGAGTAGTAGTACTTACATACAAAATTGGAACTTCAGTCATGTTCCAGTTATTCACGTACAGTTAAATGTTTTATTACTTTTAAAGTTGGGAAAAATGTTCTGTTCCTCACTGATCATGTATCTGAAAACTGAATAGTTGGATTCTAGTCAAACATTCGGAGAAATTGGCTTTGAGCTCAGACTAATGGAAAATCTGAGCCCATTGGAGAATATTTGAGAAAGATATAAGCACTCAGAACAGGAATTTATGATGGGCTGACTTGCAACCATAGCTGCAAACATTTATGCCCATATTTAAATTTCGGCATGTGAGCAGTGCTGTTATAAGAAAACACATGTGTAATCCCCCTATCCTACAATAAGCTGCCTGTGGACAGATCCTGCACTTTTTGTGAAGCTTTGCTGTAATCAGCAGAGTTCCATGCAGATTGTATTTCTGTGACGAGTCTAATGCAGGCTTAAATGTTAGGTCTTAACATATTTTTTTCCTTATGCAGACCTGGTCTATACAGGGAAGCATTTGTAAATGTGTATATTAAATATGTCCTGGGTATGACCATAAGCTGCATCCAACTGGAAGTCTGGTGGCAATGTGGTGGGGCTACTCGTGTGGGGGTAGCTCCTATAAAATACCACAATGCTGCATCCTCCAGAGTAAGGCAAGTATAGGGCGCCTCAAAACCCTAGCCCCCACTGCCTTGTGGGCACTCCTTGGTTGGAGAAAGGCTGAGGGACATCACCCTGACAGAAGTGCGCCCCCTATGAAGTGTTAGGCAGTCAGCAGCAGTTCTTATCTGTTGCTCTCTGGCAGAAGCTAGTCATCAAGGCACTGACCGTCTGGACTCAGTTTGGCCTTTGGACGCTGTCTTAGTGGTCTATGTGCAGGCCGGGAGCAACCCGAGCCCTTTTCTGTGCTGCACGCGGGCTGTGGCCAGCAGCCCGGGCACGCCGGGTCGGAGAGGGAAGGCCGTCGAGCTGGAATTAGGCACAAACGCTTAGTGGTAGTTTTAAAGATTGTTTACTTACACCGAGATGGCAGTGGTGTAGGCTGGAAAACTTGCTTGAGTTGCGGTTAAAGACAGACAACACAGACAGTCTCGTGGAGGTTGCTAGGCTCCACGGTACAGAGCTCCGGATGCTCTGGGTGAACGAGCCACCAAAATTAGAATCGTAGGTACGTCTTATAAAAGTTGCGCTCGAAGACGGGAAGAGGTGGGCGATGGATCAGGTCGCCAAGCTCCTCTGAATCTCACACAGGGTTTCTATTACCCTGCCGTGTATCCAGAGTCCCCACGAGATGGATGTGGAGTCCTCTTCGGCTTGGGCGGAAACTGCTCAAGCCTCTTATACGGCTAACAGGCCAATCGCTAGCCGCCACGTGGGAATAATTTAAAACTAGCCAATAGCGGGGAACGAATTTGCATACCGGTGGCGGGAACTCTTTTGCACCGTGCATTCCTCTTGCAACATGAGCAATGCACCCTGCAAAAGAAGCTGCAGAAAAGGCGGGAAACTCGTCCCTGCATCGGGGTTTTCCTCTGCAACAGGAAACTCTCCCGTGCAATGAAGCTGCAACTTGGCAGGGATAATTCTGGTGCCGAAGCACACACAAAATCATGCCTTTGGGTCATGACAGTCTAAAGAGGGGATGGCAGGCCTAGGGCAGCCACCACTCCTCCATACTCTTGCCAAGACATGTACGTCGAAAGTCTTAGAGTGATGGTCGCAGGACTCCATACAAATGGATTCATCAGGCACCTGACTAGACCTCTTATGCGTACACTATGATCTAGAGGATCCACGGTTCCCTACTATTAATAGTTTTAAAATTCAACTGCCTTGCCTACAGTAAAGGTAAAACCTAATTTAACATGATGCTACTTAAATGTATTTTCTAACCTAATGCAATTTTCCATATATAGACAAAAGACGAGGTGCAAGAATGAACATAGGCACTACAATGTGATCAAGTGCCTAGCTTGTATGGGCTGTGTCATCTAGTAGAATCCACTGTCCTCACTTGATTGCCTATGTTTCTTAGATGCATCAGAATGAGATCCACAAAGCCTGCCTGCCAAGCAGGGATCTCTGTAGCCTACAGCATGGAGGGAAAGATCTTTACCATCCAGGCTGTGTATAAAGAAGCAGATCATGTCATCTTCACATAGAGCAAGATGGTAGGAAAAGTAAAGGTGACAGATGGATGGGGAGCAAGGTTCTTAGGTACTTAGTTAACTCCAGGATTGTGGGGGAGTTCTTTCCACTTGGGATTCACGATTATGAATCGTCTTCTAAAGTAATGCACATAAACCAGCTCCTTTTCACAAAACATGGCTGGAAGGGGAAGTGGTGTCATTTCTCCTTTTACAACAATACTCAATAGCTCATCAAGGGTATGGGAGACAAATCCTTCCTCTGCCTGGCAGGTCTTGAACCTAAATATCCTACACGAGTGCCCTCAACATTCAGTGATGGTCTCCCCTGTTGAAGCTACTTATTTTGCATGGGATGCTTAAAAATTCAGTGGAACAGGGATTATACCTAAGCTCCTTCTCATCCCCAGTGAGCACTCTAACCACTGCAACAGAGAATATTTCTCTCACGCTGTCATCTGGATGAATTAATACTTAATTATTCCATGTAGTATGGAACAGCTTCAACAGGAAGGACTGGGCTTTCCTTCATCCCATTCCAGAATATTTTCTAGCCTGGTGGCTAGGATTCTCTCCTGGGAAGTGAAAGATATGGCTTCAAATCCTCTCTAGTACAGGAGATTTTTAAATTTGTTTCCCACATCTCACTGGGTTACTGGGTAAAAGGGAGGAACTTCTTCCTCTGTCTGTTTTGTGCAGAGGCCAGTTTGATAGGGTTGATCTAACTACTAGATCAAGTTCCATAGGCAGGGCAATGTATAGATTGTGAAATCTGAGGGTCCTAGCTGGTTGGCACCGTAGGTACTTAAGAAACTTTACTGGCAAAGTATTAGGCTCCTAGGGGCTGCAGGTGCTGCTAGGGTTACATGGTAGCTGAATGAGAATTTTGAGGATCTAACCATTTTTCCTTTGACACCAGAAGTGACACTTAGGCACCAGAGAGTCCTTGTGTAAATGTAGACCAAAGTCATTGTGGGCATATAGTTGAGCGCACTCATCTTCAGCTTTCTGTTTGTATAAGAACACGGAGAGCTTTCCTCCTCTGTAGGTTGCCAGCTGTATCCACCAAGCAAAATACAAAAATGATTTCCCTTCATAGTTTAGACATCTCTTTAATTGCATCACCAGTAAGATGCAAACTTATTGCTCTGCTGCGTTTTTACAGGTATACCTGGTTTCAAGAATTGATACATACTGCATTTTAATACAATGGACTTAAACCACTTGAAAATAGCCGCATGTCCATGTTGGGTTTTTTTGTTTACCGTGAAAAGCAGCTTTGAGCATCTAGAGCAGCTGAGGTTCTTCAGGTAGGTGTGATATCTTTTATTAGATCAACTTTTATTAGTCCCTTCCAGCCCTAATGTCTATGAAACTTGTCTACAATAAAGGTAAAACCTATGAAACTGAATAGCAGCTGATCAGGTCATCCTTCGCATCAAACCCTATCCACTCTGCAGCCCACAGCACCGCGGGAAGGATCTTTATGGTCCGGGCTGTGTCTAAAGCAGCAAATCATCGAATTGTACCAGCTCTGTAGCCTAGGCACCGATCTTTACCATCCAGGCTCTGAAAGACGAGTTGATCTTGTACTAACAGTACGCTGGTATGGAGGAACAACTGAATTGCAAACCCTCCTGGGGGGGGGGGGGGGGGTTGTTTTGTAATTCTCTCCGAGTTGGTTTCTCCACCTGCTTATGCTTCGTTCACGTCAGGTGCATGGAAGTGGGAGAGGGTCCTGGGCTGGACTTCAGAAACTCTGCCCCCAGCCCCTGCCTCCCAGCCAGCCTCCTGGAAGTTGGAATCACTCTAGAAACATCTCCCCTC